GGGGCCGGGTGCTCACGGTGGTGTCCGTCCTGAGAGGTTCTCCTTCACCTTGGCCTTCTCTCATTCCCTCTACACCAGAAACAAGCAGCCTGGGGATACCTCTTTTTTCCCCACCCACAGTGGCAGAAGAGTTAAGTGTAAAAAGTGTTCCTCAAAACTTCAACATGTACAACAAACCTCTTAAGACAGACTTCTCATTAAGAGCTGCTGACAAAGTGATTCTCAACTTGCCAATTAAAAAAGGGAAAACAAGCTCAACCACAGAGTATAGCCGATGGCTCTCTAGTCTAACCCCTTGGCACAGGGCACGCCTCATCCTGGGGGAATGGTGAACAAGCCTCATGGTGCAAGAAAACAACCACCAGAGGCAGAGGTGGGAGGCGGTGATCCCAGAACAAAGGCAAGAGGGGAGAAGTTACAGCTTCTCCCAGTGAACCTGGTGTAAAATCACCGTTAACACAGGGAAAAGCTATGGAAACAGTGCCAGGGATTCCCTCTTCTCTTGAGGCTGGGAACCTTAGGAGTGAGGGTGTGGAAGACAAAACAGAAGCCCACAGTAAAGTATCCTCCCTAGAGAACCGGTCCAAACTTAAAGTCACCGCGAAGATTGGCCTACAGGTAAGAAAGCAGAGAAGCCAGGCATGCCACTGGACCTGGGCCGGCGCTCCCAACAAAGAGCTGGGAAAGGAGCCCTTCGGCCGCCCGTGCCCCCCCTCACCGGAGCGCGCCCCCGCCCCCCCCCCCCCGGCCCCGCCCGCCCGCGCTCACCTTGGAACTCGGTGTTGTCCAGGCCGCGGATGGCCTCCACGGCGTCCTCGGCGCGCTCCATGTGCACGAAGGCGTAGTCCTTGACGATGTCGCACTCGATCACGGACCCGTACTCCTCGAACTTGGCGCGCAGCTCCATGTTGGTGCACGTGGGGCTGATGTTGCCCACGTGCAGCTTGGTGGAGGCCTTGCTCTTGTTCTTGCTGGCCTCCACGTTGATGTTGACGCCGTGCAGCTTGTAGTGGTGCAGGTTGCGGATGGCGTCCTCGGCCGCCGTCTTGTCCTCGATGTGCACGAAGCCGTAGTTCTTGATGATGTCGCACTCGAGCACCTTCCCGTACTGCTCGAACAGCGAGCGGATCTCCTGCTCCGTCGCCTCGCGGGGCAGGTTGCCGATGAACAGCTTCACCATCTCGACGGGGCCTGCAAGACACCAGGCTGGCACCGAGTCCGGGGCCGGGGCCGGGGCCGAGCGGACGGAGGCTGGGGACCCGGGGGGGCGGGGGCCGGGGACCGGGGCGGGGGGGCGGGGCCGGGAACCAGGGAACCCACCCGGGACAGGGGCAGGGAGCACAGCCGGGGGGCGCCGAGTGTCCTGGGAGCCACGCGCCGCGCCGCACCAGCCCTGGGCAGGGGCTTGGGCCGTCCGCTCGGGACCGGGGCTCGGAGACGGCGCTCGCGGCTCACCCGCACGGGACGCGGCGCAGCCTCCTCCTCGCGCCTCTGACAAAACGCTAAAATGGCGACGGCCGCAGCGGCGACTCCGAGCGAAGACGGGAGTCTCAGCCTGCCGCCCGATTGGTCACGCCGCCGAGCGGGAGGCCGGCGTTCCAGGCGGGCCCTCCTCCCTGTTGGTTACGAAACACGTCCGTCACCTAAGGGGCAGGGAAGAACTGACGTCAGCGACCGCTTGGGGCTCGTGAAGGACCAACGAGAACGCGCTGTACGCAGCCAGGCTAAGCTGATTGGGCAGGGAGGCGCCGGGGGTGTGGCCAACCGGGGAAACGCAAATAGGTGGGAGGGTAAGCGGAGCCTGTGCCTCGGGTCCCTCCCTTCCTCGCCCCCTGCTTCCCCGGCAACCCCTACACCCCCCCCTCCCCCCGCTCCGCTCTCCCGAGATTTTTCTGCCCTAGAAATCCCGGGGCCTCGCCGCCCACCGAGCCCGGAGCCCCGCAACCGAGACAGCAGGCCAGACTTGGCTCTCCAGCCTGGGTGTACCCGCTTCATACCTGGGACCCAGGGTGCTGCCCCCCCCCCCCCCACCAGCCCAGGAAGGAGACGAGGTTCAAGGAGGAGCGTGAGCCTAAGGGTCACGACCCCTCCGCGGTTCGGTGCGTGCACCTGTTGGCTTAGCTGGGAGTTCGGGGAGGAGGAGGAGCCGGCCCCCCTAAGAAAGAGGAGGAAAGGAAAGGAGACCCCTCCCAAGAAAACGTGTAAGGCACCAAGTTTTCCGGTTCCATCTTTATTTTTCTCCAGCCAGGCTAGAACGAGCTCGGACACAACCTTAGCTCAGCGAAGCCCAGCCCGCCCCGCCTCCCCCGACGTTGGCCCCGCGGGCTGCGGCCCGACACCATCAGATTAAAACCCGGACAAGTTAGAGCGTGGGTCGGCTGCTCTGCGTCCTCCTGGGTTGGCTTTCCAGGCGAGCATCCTCCTTCTGTTCCACAATCTCAGCCTAGACAGCGCTGGAAGAGGCTTCTCAAAAGGAGTCTCCAAGACGCATCAAGCAGGGCATCCAGACGGAGGGGCTTAGAGCACAAGAGGGTGCAGCCAGCATCTTAGAGGGACAAGCATAGAGAGTGGAGGGGAGGAAGGCCCGGACAGCTCAGAGACCTAAAGGAGAAAACCCGGCCAGTGCGATGGGAGGGGGAGGAGGAGGAGTCACAAACCTTGACGCCGAGGCAGCCGGGCCGCTCAGGGCATAGAACCCTGGGCCTGGAGAGGGCAAGCCTGGAGCTCAAATCCAGCTTCTGGCCCTTGCCAGAGGATAGCCCTGGTTAAGTCACTTTGGCTCAGCGTCCTCCACAGTAAAAGGACGACACTGGGAGAACCAAAGTAGACTAGAACTCGTAGACACTTAATAAATGCAGCCCAGACAACGAGCAGAGACACAAGGTGGGGTTGGTGCACCAAGTGGGCAGAATTTAAGAGATCTGACAGCAGCTTTCTCGAGTCAAGATGAGGTGATCAGCGCCCCAACAGGCCCAAGCACATCGAGGTAATGAAGTCCTCCCCTCTTATTCATTCTCTCTCACACACACACATACACCCTTATTACTTCACTTGCAACTCACACCAACATTATTGAGCATCCTCTGTGTTGCAGAACAGGAAAGTAAGGCTGGCTCCCCACTGGGAGAATGAGCAGTCAGTGTGCATAGAAAATTGGCTCTGCACATCCCTGATGTGGCCAGTATGCACCACCCACAGCCAGGTTATCACAGCCTCCCCGTGGCCTAGATGGCCTACGTCAGAACCAGCAAGGACTTGAAACAAGGTTCACAGAGTGTCCAAACTGGGGAGGGGGGAAAAAAGACCTTAGAACAGTCAATGTCAGAGCTGGAGGGAGACTTCCAATATGTGATGCTAGAACTGGAAGAAATCATTTGATCGGACTCCCAATACACACACTGTGCAGAAGTCCAAGGTCCAAGGCAAAGAAGCGACTAAGCCCAGGTGACACAGTTGTCAGCTTTGTTTGCAGTTTAGATAATGCTGTTTTGGAAATAATTGGGGGGGGCAGGTGTTCCTGGCTTTTTAATGGTTTAATAGATTGAAATCTGGACTTCAGTGGTGAAGAAGGACAGTTCAAAAGTCTCTAAGCCCCACATGACCTAAATCAAACTGCCCCTAATCAGGCAAACAGCCACCCAAGGGCTAATGCTGGAGTCCCCTCTGAATCGTCCCAACCCCCCAGGGCCATCCATCAGTGACAAAAAAGTGGCCAATCTCAAGTCCCAGTCATCTACACCTGCAGGGCAGCCATCAGTCCAAAGTAGATACAGCACAATCCCTTCTGCCTGGCTTTGAGAACATGCTCACTGTGGCTGCTGCACCTGCAGGGACAGACAGGAGGCTCTGGGTGACTTTGGACAAGGAGCACTCTGGACCTTTTTTTCCCCTCTTCTGTAAAATTATGAGGTTGGGCTAGTCCAGGAGTCCTGTGTACCCTCCGGGGCCAGTGCAGCCTCGGACCACTTCTCAGAATGTTGTGAAAAACATAAAATGCACAGGATAAAAAAGGACACCAACTAGGTTGAAATACAGTCATCAAAATAGTGAACAAGTTCCAGAGCCCAGGCCTAGGTGACCCCAACCACAACCCTCCAAAGCGCCTCTTCAACGAGCCCACCGCCTGGCCAGGAAAACCTCCCTCCACAAGGGGTGGTCAAGTCTCTTCTGTTTTCCCAGTGATGCCAGGATGTAGCCGCAGGGTGAGACCACAACCAAGGGGCTAACCCAGGGAAGTGGCTCAGATTACCCAAATGAAGGATGTAACCGCCCCTTTCCTGGGAAGTCAAGAAACTTCATCCGTTTAGTCCCCTTAGGGGTTGTCATCTGGGGGGTTAATAAAACTCTAGGCTCGGGGGCCATCTAGAACAGACACAAGCCACTTCCTAGAAGAGAACCCAAACAGCCAGGGATTTCTGTGGGGGGTGAACAAGTCACTAAGCCTCCACTTCTGGCCCACCAGGCATGACAGCATCCAGGCCTCCCAGGGCCCAGCTCAGTGGGCAGGCAAAGCCACCGAATTTAGGGCCCATAGATGTCTGCTGGAGCCCCCTTTTTAGAATTTGTGTGACTCTGGACAAATCACTCACCCCTCAGTTCCAAGTAAGTTCCCTTCCAATTGTTGTATGGGGGCTTTGTAAACTTCACAGGCAATTGTACATCCTGCTGTCTGAAGTCCCTTCCCCTGACACCCCCCACTTAGGAGAAATCTCTTCCTCCCACCACTTGGTGATCTCAGAACATCTATTTTCTAACCAGCTTCTTCCCCAGCCGATTCTTCGGCCCCAAGAGAACTGGCACCAGCGCCAAAGAATCTCAACCTTGGATCAGATCCAAGAATATCAGAACCAGGGGGTACCCGAGAGATCTTGGTCAGGATTTCTTAATCTGGGGTTCACCTCCACGAGTAATTTCAAGGCATCCATTAATTTGGATGGGGGGGGGGAGGAATTATGTCTTTATTTTGATATAATTGGCTTCCTTTGTAATTCTATGAATTTTTCTTTAAGCATTCAAAAATAACATCACCCTGAATGGTCCACAGGCTGATTCACCAAACTGACTATCCAAAGGCTCAAGGACACAAAAAAGTTAGAACTGATCTAGACCCACCCCATTATAGAAGAGAAGAGAAAGGGACCTAGGGAAAGGCCACAGTCATTCTCCTCTCAACACAAGAGTCATCAAGAACTGGCTGTGGACAGGAATTACAAAGGCTATTTCCAGTCTTGTCATCCCTGAGCTCACAGTGCTACAGAGCAGCTACCCTGTGCATACCCAGGTGCCCCTTCCTTGTTAGGGCAAGACAGTGTGCCCTTTAAAAGTGCAATGGGAAGGAAGCCCTTCCATTATCCCACTGAAACACTCCTCTCTGCTGTCATAATTTAATAGACTCAGGGATTCTATAGCCATCTTGCCAACTAAGAGGGCAGCTCTAACTTAAGGGGCAGGCCTGTGCCCCGGGTGCTTCCCATCTCTCTCCCACCACAGCAGAGTTCTTTACACACAGGAGGCTCTTCAGACAGGCTGGTGGAAATGTAGGCCAGTGCCTATGACAGTGCTTGGCCCACCAAGGCCCCCCGGAAAGACTGCATCAAATCAGAGTCAAGTGTGAAGGAACCTGCTTGGGCCCAATTCAGGCTCTCCGTCAATCACCAAGTGCCTCTCAACTGAGGACACTAACTCTGCAGAGTAACAGAAAAGTGTGGGGACACCAAAATCCCTACCATTTCCTCTATGGGTCCCAAAGTCTCCTGCTTTTAAACCCCAGGCCTCTGCATCCAAAGCCTACAGGACCAAGATTGGGTTGGTTGGTGCCTTTGAGGCAGTGGTCACCTAAAAAGATGCCTGTAAAAAAAAATAACATGCTGTGGAGTCCCATTGCTGGAGACAAAAAAGCAAAGCTGTCCAAAGAAGCGTGGCCTAGAGCCTGTGCTGCAGTCAATTTCCTCATTTTTCCCAAATCTAGTCCTCACCCAAGGAGGCACACACCAAGGGCAGCAAGGAGCAGAAGCAGGGAACACATGGCGTAGGGCTCTCAGGCCAACGCTGGCCATACAGGAACAGCCAAGTCTGAAGGGAGCCTATCGAAGGACCCACATCTCCGGCACCTTCGTTTGGTTCTACTCCCCCCACCCCCAAATGGAAGGTGCATGTGGATGTGGGCACCTCTCAACACCGTACCACACCTTTCATCAACTCCCAAGCTGCCAATTCCCACCACCCTCCTCTGAGGAGACAAGACCCTCAAAGTCAGAAAGACACAACAGGTACAGGAGGGGTGACAGAAAATGGTTAGACTGCCCAGCTACCCTGACTCTCCTGGGAGGGAAAGGGAGAGAGACAGAGGCCAGGGTGGGGAGAGGGCTGGCAGCAGACCTGCTTGTGGCTTATCCCTCTTAGGCAAGGAGGAGCTCAGAGAGCCGAGGGGTCCGGGGAGCCTAAGTGTGGTTAGGATGCTCATCCAGGCTCCAGGTGGTTCCAGGTAAATGCTTGCCCTGGGCTGCAATAAGGACAGTCAATTAAGGACCACCCCTCC